AAAAAAAAAAAAAAAAAAAAAAAAAAAAAAAAAAAAAAAAAAAAAAAAAAAAAAAAAAAAAAAAAACAATTATGACATCTATTGTGGTTAAAACTATAAGCATAGAGATAGAAGGTTCAACTATTTTACATCCAAAAATATTATATGTACCTGTTTGTCAGCTCGTAATGTCCTCAACTCTTCTACAACCTCCAAAACTCGAATTTTAAGATCTGTCTTGCCCTCAAGATCTGCAATATTTGATAGAAAGTTTCAAGTCATATAAAGAAAGACTTTCTTAGCTTCAACTTCTCGATAAAAGTACTAGAAGCGATCAATCAAATAAAAAACAAGTATAAGCCAACAAATAGAAAGGAAAGGAGAAAGAAACAAATCTCAGCACAGACATTTTACAAGTTCTTCATATGTAAACACAGCACAATTTTTTGAACTGAAGTAACATAAACAGACAACATCCTCAAGCTCAATATATATTGTCCGGCATTGGAGTGTCATTTATGTATATTGAGCAAAAAGGAGTGAAGATCAGCACAGACATTCTATCGCCAATTTGGAAGTGGGCACTTCCTGAAACAGCAGTCCTTTCCACCCCGCCATTTCCTCAAGTTATAAGGAACATACACTACTAACTCACAGACACTCTATTTCCCAATTAACAGGAGTTTAAAACAGGAGGCCTGACATTACCACCAAGGCCAAAGGAAACCTGGTCTTCTTTTAGTTGCTTTTTTATTCATAGATGTTCCAAATGAGCACTGATGGGTGAGTGAGCCTTATTTGTGGTGGTGGTCAACGTCCCATTGTGGGGACTGGATAATTGTTCGATGGAACAAAAAAATCGGTCAAAATTCTTTGTTGATAGCTTCCACTTCAACATCACTTCCTTAGGAAGCACAAGGTAGCCCTCAAACCTTGATGATCCTTATCTATCTTCCTACTCCTAGGAACTACTAGAGATTGGATTGCAATGGATCTTAAACCCTCATTCACTAGAGATTGGATCCAATTTTCTCATCCATCAGTTCACTCTATGTATCTGTTTAACAAGGTTTCCGGGTATGGCTAAAACAGCCTTATATATTTAATAAAAAGTGGCTGACTAGTATAATTCCATAAAAAATTAAATTAAATTAAAAAAAAAAAAAACAAATCCTTTAGGATGTTTTTTTCGAGTGCCAACAAAATTAGAAAGTAATAAACACTCAGTTTAGGATGTTTTTTCGAGTTCCAGCATGTCCATGCTGTGGACATGTCAAATATGGACAGTTTGCTAAAAACAAAATGTTTGTGTTTATAAGCATCGACCTACTAGATCTATAACCTTTAGATGTAAGGTAACAAAGCAATCAAAACAGCATTGACCCACTTTTTAGATTATCAAAAAAATCAATTGATCAAATTTTTTTAAAAAAAAATTACATCAGAAAAGATAGGATTCATTGCTTCCAAAAGAGATACAAATAAATACGAGCCCAAAACTCAAACACATGCACCCCACCACTCAAGGTTTCGTACATGCACTTCCAATTGAAAAATAAAACATTATCCACCACTCGTAATAGGGTAACAGAATTGCGAATGATTGGGGATTGTTAACATTTTGACACAATTCTGACTATTCCAATATAAAAAGATAAGCAATCAATTATATGGAAAGATATATCTTGATATTTAAGAAAAATTGATTCAATAAAGAAACTATACAATTCTTCCACCAATTGAAATAAAAATACCATATTGGTCGGCTTCTTTCAACTTCTCTTTAATTTGCTTTGATAACTCAAGAACCTCAGGTATCTGTAATAACAATCAATTAAATAGATAAATGGAATTATATATGCATCACCTCATGTAACTCAAGTTTCTTATATATTAAAAAAAAAAAATTAGATCACCAAGGACAAGTACCTGGGTGACTTCAGAGACAGAAATTGCAATAGCTGCTTTTGCATCTTCCTCCTCAAGTCGCTTCAAGGCTCTAGCAATTTTTCTATCACACTCAATAATGAGACGATCTATAACATCCTCCAAGTCTCTGTCGTAGTTATGAACCCCTTTAGTCTTTGCTTCTTCATATCTAGAAAGAGTTAAAAGAACCTCTGGGAAACAAACGAACCACATTTGAAATCTTCCAATTCCACCTAATTGCCTTTATGTAATTAGGAATCCCTTAAACTAATTTAGACTTAGAAAGGTAGAAATTTATACAACTTGAGAAAGGGTTTTTTATGAAGTAACATCTACATGGTGCAGTCCCCTTTATTGTTCACGAAAATTATAAATCTTCACAAAAAATACAGTATAGAGTTGACTGAACGGTATGAGTCCCCTTCCAGAAACTCCTAAAAATTGACTACCGCATAATAAAACTTCCATTTTCAAGCCAAATTATGATAGCAAATTAACCAACTCCAAGGCTCAGCACGATAGTAAGGTATAATAAAAGAAATACGTCGAAGTACTTCCAGCAATGCAATAAAAAACAAACACCCTGTAACTTAATCAAGGATACTCTTTCCTAAGTTGCAAGGAGTGGATCTTCGGGCATGGACCCATATCCATTTTCTGAAACAGAAAATGAATTTCAATTAAAATATTATACAAATAAGTTAAAATTTTACCAACAGCAATAAAACACAAATCATCGATAGCAAAAATCAATTTCCCACTGCAACAAAATAAATTATCCTCGGCATTTTTCCTCTCCACTTTTCCATTTCAAGACGGCTGATCACCCTGATTTTTCCTAGCAACTAAACCAACAAAAACCCGAGAACCAACCAATAACAGCATAAAAAATACGAGTCGCCAGTATTCTGACTAACAAAAGAAATCGAAGAAGCAAGAAACGAGAAACTCAGTAGGAAATAGATGAAAACATGAATTGATCTAACCGTGAGTTGGAAGAGTTCATGAGGACAAAGCCCAACTAAGAACATGCGGCACACATCGCGGTCGTAGTACTTGCGGCTAACTTCCTGCACGTCGCCATTTCGATTGGCACCCATTAGCTGGTCCAGTTGCCTTCTAAAAGCATCCATGGCTGTCTCTGCGTAGATCTCTCTAGGAAAACCTTCTCCCCAAAGGGTGTCTCTGCTCAAGGAGCGAGGCTATCGGAAGCAAATACAGAATTAGGGTTTGATTTGATTTAGAGTTTCCGGGTCAAATCTTTTTCGGGTGTCAGGGTGGATTTCCACATTCTCTTTCCTGCCCGAAGCCTGAAGCATCAGAAGGCCCGCCAGAATGTCGGGTCCATCTAAACCCGACTTTTGAGTCCTGCCCGGGGTACTTTAGTAATTCTAAAAAATTACAATTTGAAGTTTGAAAATTACACATTTTTCTTTTCAACTTTAAATTTGTATAGCAATTTTAGACTATACAGTTTACAATTTAATTTCTAATTAATTTTTAATTTAGTGTATAATAAATTTTTCATATTTAAAAAAAAAATATATCTAGAAGTATATATATGAACTATGATCACTTTATTAAATTTTAAAAAAATTACTACTATTATTATTATTTTTTTATTTTTTTTGTAATTTACAAAATAAAAAGTGATTATTTTCAGCGTCATTGTAATTTTATTTTTCGCTCATCAAAATTGGAATGTATGTAATCATAATTATATTAATCAAGACTTCAAAAGTTTGATACAACTTTTGAAATTATATTAATCATAATTATATTAAAGGTTTTAAAATTTGCAATTAATTTTACTTCTCTAATTTTGTATCTAATAAGTCAAAGATACGAGGTTGAAAGTCAAATAATATTGAACACTTCTCATGATTTAAGAATCCATAAAAATTCAAGGATAAAATAGACACAAACTTAAATGTTCGGGAACTAAATATGAACTTTTAAGAATCCATAAAAATTCAAGGATAAAATAGACACAAACTTAAATGTTCGGGAACTAAATATGAACTTTTAAGAATCCATAAAAATTCAAGGATAAAATAGACACAAACTTAAATGTTCGGGAACTAAATATGAACTTTTAAGAATCCATAAAAATTCAAGGATAAAATAGACACAAACTTAAATGTTCGGGAACTAAATATGAACTTTTAAGAATCCATAAAAATTCAAGGATAAAATAGACACAAACTTAAATGTTCGGGAACTAAATATGAACTTTTAAGAATCCATAAAAATTCAAGGATAAAATAGACACAAACTTAAATGTTCGGGAACTAAATATGAACTTTAACATAGAAACTAAAAAGGGAGAGGTAAGTAAGAGCGCAATGAAAAGAAAGGGTAGAGAGATTTGTAAATTACTTCTTTTAAAAAATGTGTACCTGAACAGAAGTATTTTAAAAATGCTAAATAAAGGAACAAGTCACATAATATATTGTTGAGTTAACTCCGGAACAAGGCTAAATGTGTAGGCAAACTAGACAATCTACTGTGTAGAAAGTAAGGACCGACAGCCGAAGCCAAAATGCAGGTGTGATGCATTGCTAAAACACTTTTGAGCTTAGGTTTTGAAAGCAACAATACGTATGGGGAACACGAACATCGATCGAAACTGTTCTCAACTATCTAAGGATGAAAACAAATACAACGAACCATTTAATTACTAAAATGACACTGAATCAAAGCTCCTATTCTAAAGGATTTCCATAACAGACCACTCGAACATATTAACACACCACTAAATCCAAAATCAGTGTTAAAAATTACAGGAAAACACATTTCTAAATAGGGTGACCAAAATTTCTCCAAAAAGACCCACTGGCAACAAAAGGTGCCGGGGATCTATAGCTCTCAGAATTGTCGATATAAAGAACACAGTTGATAGAAAATGCCCTGAATACAAATCTACTTCATAACAATAAACTCAAGTCTCAGCAGGATGGCTACCTATTCAAAATATCAATGCCAGTAATCATCCATCCAGAATCATGACAAAACACCCTATTCCTCATTTTGAGTTTCATCCTTGTAAAGCTTGATCATGTCGTCAATACGAAGAATAGTAATCGCTGCTTCAGTTGCAAACTGGAAGATTTTGGGAGGAAAATGAGTATGAAGAAGGTTGCTAAAGAATAAATATATAGGAAAATTTAAAAGCCATTTACCTGAATTATCTTGACTTTGCTCATGGCTGGTTCAATGACACCAGCTTCCAAGTTATTGCGTATGGTTCCGTTGGATAGATCTAGTCCCATGCTGCTCGAAGAATGGAAGCAAAAGCAATAAACATACTAATAAAAACAGGTTCAAGCTAAAACAAACCGGTGTAAACCCAACTCAAACAGAAACCAAAAAAAAAACAGAGATGAGTTATAGTCGTCACCACCACATATTTTGAGGACCAATCTATTTTAGTTAAAGAATATAACAAGACCGTAATGTGGCATTCACACTCATTTAGTGAGTGACAGCGCACTATAAATCAAGATAAAATATCTACAGTTAATATCTAGTGTTTTACTAAAGCCTTCACCAACCAACAGACAAAAATCATATGTTAAAAAAACAATAAAAACCCCGCATGCCCAGTCTCTCAAATCCCTCTCTATGCCTCCTCTCAGTAGACTACCAGCCACCTCAAGAGGAGGGCTACATTGCTGCTATCAAAACTATTGTATCTCCAAACCAACGTTTATAGTTTCGACCAAGCATTCCAATTAACTAAATGAAACCCCCTCTACTTTCTTCTAAATCGCTCCTCTCAACGAAAAACCCTCAAAATGAAAAATAAAATGGTAAAGAAAAAGGAAAAGGAAAAGGATAAAAGAAACCATTAAGAGACGGCATATTTTAACTATTATGCTGAACTCTATGGAATACTTTTTAAAAAAATTGGTGTCACAATACTGTGTCATATCGTGTATCTGTGCTTCTTAGGCTTTTTTTCAATAATGAAAAAAAGTATGATGCAAATTCGTGGTGTAAGATAAAAAAATGCTTCTTCCCGAAGAAAAATTAGTAGGGCAGATGATCATACTACTGCAATAATTAAAATACCTAGATAGATGCTTCTTGTCTGCCTTGGTTTGTGCTGTGTGGTGGTAAGCCCGTAGTTTGGCAACTAACTCAGTAGCGTCCTTAGCAGCATTAACAGCAAGTACCTACAAAAAGAACATGCAAGTGACAATCATGACGCAAAAACATTTCCGAAATTTGCTCCATTATCACTATATACCTTTGGAATAATTAATAAAGATTCTGCAAACTCAGCAATCGCCAACTGCTCGCGGGAGCCTAGAGTTGTTGCAAGATATTCCAAATACACAGACAATGCAGATTCAACTGCACCACCACCAGCTACCACCTGTATGATCAACACAATCAACGACATAAATAGGTAATTGGGCAGCTGAATAATGAACAAATATAAGTTTCTAATTCTTTCTGCAAATCTATATCATCCAATTATCTGTTTAATTTAAGACAGTCAAAAACAAGGAATTGGTTGGTAGTAATTGAACCAAAAACAGCATAAAAGAGAGGTATTTTGAACTAAGGTGATTAAGGTCCCGTTTGCAAAATTAACTTCGGAGAAGCTTTAGGGAGAGGGAAAGTGGGGATATTATTTGTTTTTTCTCTTAGGAGTACGTTATATAGGGCTTTCTTTAACTCATTCTCCTCGGTTGACGTTCCATTGGAAAGTTCTTTGATCTCCATTGGCTTTTTAGGTTCTTTAATTATTTTTTGTTCCATTAATCAAATATAAGCAGTTAATGAACATCCACCATGCCGTCAATTGAGAGAATAAGATTACACAGGCTACTGAACTCAAAAAGAAATCAAGAATTACCGTATTGGACTCAAGGGTCCTTTTGACAATAGATAATGCATCATGCAAAGCTCTCTCCATCTCGTCGAGCATATAGTCATTCGCGCCTCTAAGGATCAAGGAGACCTAAAGAATAATATTTTTTTAAAATCATATTATTTCTCAGAAAAAAAGAAAAATAATGCACAATGTAAATAATAATTAAATTACTTCCCATTATTCAGCAATCACACAAAATCTTATCTATTTTCAAACCCATTTTCAAGTAAATTATTAACCGCAGGTAATAATTTGAACAATGTATCTTGGTTAGAAATCCAACCAAACAGTCTAACACCATTACTTAAAGAATTAGTAATTTGATAAGATCAGGTTTGACAAGTAGCTTCCAAACAGCTTGAGCTTGGACAAAGTCACTTACCGCACTAGTAGTTTTAGCACCCTTTATCAAAACGACATCATCATCAGAAATTCTTTCCTCTACAACCTCATCAGCATATCCAAGAAGTGATGGCTCAAACGTTTCCTCCCCCTCCATGTCAGCAAATGTTGAAACCTACAGACCCATGAACAGGAAGGATAACAATTAATAACAAATACTAACAATAATTTATTTCTGGCTCAGTAAAAGCTATTGGCATAAGATATTAGACATTGTATAACAAAGTGGCGTAGAAAGTCCTAAACATGATCAGTAGCTTAGATAAAAAGAGGATCGGAAGCTATATTTCACTGAAAAAAGCTCACATAGGCACAACACAAACAATTGAATGCCCTCCTCTCCCTAACACTACCCTCTGCTAAACGAGACAACCATAGGTCCTAGGAGTGAAAAGCTAAACCAAAACAAGTAGATTCCATCTGGTTAACTATATTGATTCAGTTAGCAATTCAACATAACAGATGTTGAACCAAATTGAACAAAATTCATCAAGTATATTATTTTCAGTTATGTGTACATCGTAGCATTAGTTTTAAAAAAAAAATTATATACTTATTTGTTATATAATATATCATTTTGTTTAAATGAAAAAAGTAAAGTGTAGCAGCCAGCAACAGCAAACTCGTTATCTAAAATAATGTGAAACATAATCCTACCTTCCCATTATTTATTCACAAAATCCAAGCCACTAACTACAGACTCGATGATAATGTTCATCAGTATGCCTCTTCACGTGGACAAAACCCCAACGAATTTTCTTCTCACCAATTTCATCAACAGAAATTATCAACCTTGAGCGCTTTTGACTTTGCCTCTTTGTTGAAGGTCAATAGACCTCTCCGCCCCTCTAAAGTTTCGACTACTACTCTCCATCCACTCCTCCCAAGATAGTGAACCCACAGTTCAAAAGCTTAATATAAACTTCCCCGAAACACTAGGAAAGTGCAATACACAAAAAAAGTGTTCTAAGCATGCAAAGAGAATTATGAAAATACTTGAGTTTTAATGCATAATATAATGGAACGAAAACGAAAAACCAAAACCTTCTATTTAGCAATCTGCTATGAGCACAAGCAATAATAACCGTGCGGTCCAATATTTGAGACCATCTTCAATGAAACAAACTGGAAGATTAAATGAAATGGACAGTTGATACATAAGAAAGGGTATTTGCATACCATGGTTGCTCCAGTAGCCTTGGCAACATGGCGCATGTCCTCCTTTTTTACTCGCCTAACAGCCATAGCACCCGCCTCCACAAAATACTATCATAGAAATAAAAATGTACTTGGAAAAAAGTTAAAAATTATACCAACAAATTACTAAAAAAAATTATACATCAAAGGCAATACGAATACAACAGAACAACATAAACCTCATAAAATCAGAAAATCCATTAACAGGAAAACATTCCATTTCACCAACTCAAATAATGTAATGACAGAAGAATTCAAAAACATAATGTTTAAATTGGGTACTAACTTATTTTCAAAAAATTATCCAAAATGTTTTTCTAAAATTGTTTAATGTTCTCCAAGAATCAATTAAAATCAACACAAGTACAAACAAGAGAATCATATCCACTCAGGCCCACATAAACAGACACAATAGGAAAAAGTTCTACATTAGATATAGGAATGCATTACATTATCTTGAATGAGTGCACAACATTTAAACACAAACCAGCTAATGTAATAGATATCAGAAAATAATCCCAGACAAATAGTAGACACTAATTAGTAGGGTACAGCTGAAAGTAGTCATCATAAATGAGAACAAAAACTAAAGAAGCTTGCCTTCAGTGCCATGTCATCAATCCCTTTCGTGGTGAGAATAACATTTGCCCCAGCTTTCAGAAGCTTTTCAATGCGTTCTTTCATCATATCAGACTCCCTGTGAACAAGATGCGCCATAATTGCCAAACAAAAAGGTTAAAACAGTACAAGAATTGTAGATTTTGATTAATAAAAAAGGCTACTTAGAAGATTTCGAAAAGATAGGCATATACTGTAGCGTGTGAAAATTCCAAATAGAAATGGCAGTGAAGAGAATCTTTAGGAACAAAAAACCATAATTCGACTCAATAGAACTTCTGGGTCCATCATGCTTAAAAGCAATTTGAGTCGTATCAAATACCTCTGACGAATTTTCTCAAGTTCCCTAGGGTCTGAGACAAGAACTTGTACGCCAAGCTGCATTTTTGTCTTTTGGAGATTGAAGTCAAGGCAAGCAATCCTTGCAGGTGCAACTCTAATTGGCATTCCTTGAGCTGCTCGACCACTATTTAGAGCATAACCATTCAACAGGTAGCTATCTTTTGCACTCTTTCCATGAGCTTTCAAAATGTTGATTCCCTGAAACACAAATTAGAAAACAAAAAATACTAAATTCTAGTTCAACAAATACTTATCTTAACTTGCACACTTATCAAGAAATCTAGCTTTACACCATGATAGCATGCACTTAATTTAGATGATTTTTCTATCAATAGCTAATGATCTCTTTTCACAGCTCCATATAGCTTGTGATAATGGAAAAGCCGTGAATGTTAGGAAAGGGGTTGAGAAAGATGGCACCATGTGAGCCTAGTTGCAACAGGGGAGAGCATTAAAACTATGTGGAAGAAAATTCTTTTTTTTCGTTGTTGACAAAAACACTAAATATTTAAAGTCATCTCTCACTAAGAAAACAATTCTGATTTCTCACCAATAAGAAGCAACAGAATAGACTCAAAGAATTGCTCTTCTTGAACACAAAACCACAAAAGCATATTTTCTTGAGCTCTAAAGACCATAAGGAAATCAAAGGGACAAAAAGCCCCAATAGTTTCCAGCACAAAGTAATAGACAAGGAAGACGAGGAACCCAAAGAAACCTTGAAATAAACTAAATCCCAAAATTCATTGTGCTCTTTCCAAAAGTTAAAAAAAAAAAAAAAAAAACAAATTTTTCTCGCAAGAAAATTTTCAAAGGATAGCAAAAAAACTAGAATGAATCCAAGTTTAAATGGTCTTCCTCTAAAGTAGCCAAAAGTAGGTAAAGACGTAATTAATAAACATCTGACTGTAGCACATATCATCAATTCTAAATCTTCGTTATCTAACTTAAACTAAAAAACAATTTTAAAAGAAAAAGAACAATATTTCATCCAAAACCCTGATTGGGAAACTAAACCAAAAAGTCACAAACCTTAATGGGGTATTTAACTTCTCCCCTTGCGTTGGTCATCTTCACTGCTTGCACAGCATCTACAACCTAGAGACACAGATACATGCAAGACTTAAGCAACCAAATAAAGAACACTTGGTAAAGAAACTTTATATGAAAGTTGGCAAGGCAACCACAGGCAACATTATTTTACATAAAAGATTTGAAGATAAACACATAAATTGAAAAACATGATACTAAACCTTCAAATAAAGTCCTCAAACTTAGTAACATAAAGGAGCCAATAACTTACCATGTTTGCAAAGAAGTCACTATCACCCGTAATCAACTTGGAAGACATGCTTGTTTTAGCACAGTTTATAAGTGAGTCTTTTCCCAACTTTTCAACCTGAACATCCACATTAATAGATGTCAGAAACTGTCTTTGTTTGGATAAGAAACCAAACTTTTCACTAACCTCTGTTAGTATAAAATACGGAAGAATGATATACAAAAAGGCTTCAAGCTCACTTCACAACCAAGTGAGCTTAAAAAATTACTTGATCAAATTGATGTAAATTGGAAGGGAAGGAATCATTAAAATAAAAAGCAGAGAGAATACAGAAATTGAACTAAACAAAGTAGCTCACCAACTCAACCCAATTACTTTTAGGAGAAAAAAAACAGTGGACTTTTGAAACATTGAAAACAAAAAATAAAAAAGTTATTCCAATTATTAATGACGACATTAAGGACCTTATAAAGCCTATTCATTAAAAAAAATAACACAAAGTTAAACAAAACTTTTTTGGTTGTAAAAGTGCTTGATTACGCATTGTTTGATTGGTGTAGTTTTTGTATTTAAATTGGGATTGTGTCCCACTAGGAAAAAGGCTATTGGAAAACACTTCACCCAAGTCCTTCCATATCAGAAACGGAATGCATATGGTTTTACATAATCTATTTATAAATATAATATCTTCAACAACTATGCAAAGCTATTTTACGAGAAATGCCTCACCTTTACAGCCAACTTTTCATCGACATACTTGCATGCTTCCCTCATGGCAAGCTACCAACATCAAAAAATATTGAAGCATATAAATATTAAAATCAAAACTTCAAAAAAGAACAAAAAAACAATAGAAAATGAGTGGTACAGACATCTTTAGCAAAAGAAAACCAGAACAAAACTTCACTAAAATGGAATAATAGAAAGAAGAGTTGCTTACTCTGTACCCACTAATTATAGAAGTTGGATGAATTTTGTTTCTCACCAAATCATTAGCTCTCTGAAAAGATACAAGGGGAAAATGAAGTTCTAGGTGTCCATGATAATAAATGATAATTTCTTAATTTTGAGTACATTAAGCACTCTTACCTTGAGCAACTCAGCTGCTACTATGACCACTGAAGTTGTGCCATCACCAACTTCTCGATCCTGAAGTTCGGCCAACTCCACTAGCACCTAAAATGCATAAAATCAAAATTTGCCACAAAAGAGACAGAAATAAGAATTGTAAGACATTAAACATATGTATGAAAACAACAAGGCTATATGCCTACCTTCGCAGCAGGATGCTCTACTTCTAACATCTTGAGAATAGTTGCACCATCATTAGTGATTGTAACATCACCAATGTCATCCACAAGCATCTGGTACATATTTTTAATTATAAATATATAGCATATATTAAATCCTCCAAGCCTATGATTAGACAGGACAGGGAGGTTTCCAAACGAGAAAAGAGAATGTTAGAAATTATTTTTCTTTTTTTAATTCAACATGTGGGGTGAGGGTTTTGAATCTTTGGCCTCTTGGTCAAGGGTATATGCATTAACTAGTTGAGCTAATAGTTTCAATCTCATGTCTTAAACAATCGAGCTATGCTAAGATGGCCAGCAAGAACCACAGTTTCATTCCCTTTCTTTATACAAAACATAATCATAATTAACTTGAAATGTTACATTCCTTCTCTAAGTTGGAAGCTCCTAAACTTGCAGACAATTAGAAATTTTACATTCCTTCTCTATGCTAAGAGTACATTACATACACTGTACAATAAAAATTCATCAAGAATTAGAAGAATGAATACAAAACACAAACTCATTGCATTTTGACTCAAAAATGCTAAAACAAAAAGTAGTGTCATCAGGAGAATCTATGTCAAAATAGTATAAGAAATTGGAAAGTGAGGCAATACCTTATCGAGGCCAACAGGTCCAAGCGAGGATTTCACAATGTTGGCAACTGCTTGACATGCTACAACTGAACCCACCAAACAATTCAAATGAGTAATTCACGTTGTCTCTAACTAGTTTAAAATATAAATAAAAGAACACGCAAGTGTAATAAAAAAGAAGGATCTATCTTGCTAAAAAATACAACAATAAGAGAAAGGGAGGTGAAAAGTTGTAAGATTTACCATTTTGGGTGCGAACATCCTGACCAGATTGTCGCTCACCCAATATATCAAGGGTTTGTGAAGCAATTGCCATCTCTTAGACTCCTCTTGAAGTTGAAATGAAGTAAACACTCGATAACACTAGAGTCTGTTAAGAAAAAAATATCGGAAAAAATGCCATCAATGCTTCTTAAGAATCAAAAAAACGTAAAGAAATTTAAGAATGCTCCATAACCTTCATGATGAACACGTAGATCTAACTTCCTTAGAATTTATTAAAATGGACTAGTAGAACATTGTATTTTCAGCGTTAGCCATCATATTCGAATTTTCTAATGGCATTCTATTTTCTAAGGGCATGAGAAGGTGGCATTCAGCAACCATTGATGAACATGAACCCACTACTTTCATATATATCAAATAAATCAAGACAGCATTCAACAAATATGAGAATCATTAACATTAAGACAGCGAAGAGTAATCAAATATTTCCAATTCACTTTCAAAGACAAATTTTTTAGAAGGAAAAGTACTAAACATGCAACCCTCTATTCTAAATCTTATTTCAGAAGCATATTGATGGATCTGAACACAACCGAAATCTTTCAATAGATTTGTAGACAACCAATAGGCTAAAAAAAAAAAAAAAAAAAAAAAAAAAAAAAAAAAAAAAAAAAAAAA